AATGATATTATTTTAAGCACCAGAAAAAGCATCTCACTGACGTATCTATGCTGAGTTGTGTGCAGGTGGCTTGTAGCACACAGGGTTTATGTGTGCACAAGTGGCATGTAGCATGCAGGCTTTGTATGTGCACAGGCCTGTGTAGCATGCAGGGTTTGTGTGTGTGCAGGTGGCGTGTAGCATGCAGGGTTTGTGTGTGTGCAGGTGGCATGTAGCATGCAGGGTTTGTGTGTGCAGGTGGCATGTAGCATGCAGAGTTTGTGTGTGCACAGGTGGTATGCAGCACACATGGTCTGTGTGCAGGTGGTGTGTAGCATGCAGGGTTTGTGTGTGTGCAGGTGGCATGTAACATGCACAGTTTGTGTGTGTGCAGGTGGTGTGTAGCATGCAGGGTTTGTGTGTGCACAGGTGGTATATAGCATGCAGAGTTTGTGTATGCAGGTGGCATGTAGCATGCAGGGTTTGTTTGTGCACAGGTGGCATGTAGCATGCAGGGTTTGTTTGTGCACAGGTGGCGTGTAGCACACAGGGTCTGTGTGCAGGTGGCGTGTAGCATGCACGGTTTGTGTGTGCGCAGGTGGCATGTAGCATGCAGTGTTTGTGCGCAGGTGGTGTGTAGCATGCACGGTTTGTTTGTGCACAGGTGGCATGTAGCATGCAGGGTTTATGTGTGCACAGGTAGCGTGTAGCACACAGGGTCTGTGTGCAGGTGGCGTGTAGCATACACGGTTTGTGTGTGCGCAGGTGGCATGTAGCATGCAGGGTTTGTGTGTGCACAGGTGGTGTGTAGCACACGGGGGTCTTGTGTGCAGGTGGCATGTAGCATGCAGGGTTTGTGTGTGTGCAGGTGGTATGTGGCACGCAGGGTCTGACCACTTAGCAGTCCAGTCTACACCCTAGGGAGCTGCTGGCCCTCAGGGCAGTCACTGACACAGAGGGCGTCCCAGCAGCCGCAGGTCTGCCAAAGGGGCAGAGGCCTGGCTTCCCTGTCCCATCCTGGGGCTGAGAGTGCCCCACAGGGCAGGGTCAGGAGAGAGGGCATCCCAGGAGCCGGGAGCCTGCAGAGGCAGCGTGGAGAGTGCGCAGGGCCCAGCCCAGCCGCCCTCCCACCCCATGCAGCAGTTTCCGCCTCACAGCACGTGTGAGGAGGGTTCTCCTCTCCAAGGGACCAATTTCACAAGGGAAATCGGTGGGAAAATCAGATTCCCCTTAAAGCCAGTTCTGGGGAAGCTCCAAGCAAGATGACAGACTTGGGGTAACCGCGACTCTCGAGGGGACAGAGCAAGTGAGTTAAATGCCCAGAGGCTCACTTCTCCACCTGGGCCCTCATCCCCAGGGGCCTGTGGGGGGCACAGGCAGGTGGGGACTCAGGAAGTGGCAACAGGGGGAACTGCCACCTGCGTGGGCACAGGCTGGACGCTGGGCTGGGTCCACTCTGCCCCAGTCCTCCAGGGTGCAGGGTCCCGAGCGCTCCTGGGCCGCCAGTCCCACGCAGCCCCGCGTGCACCTGCACAGGTGAACCTGTCACTCTGCTGGAAGCCCCTCCCTCCCCAGGGCCCCCCTGGGCTGAGAATTCCATGTAGTCCAGACCAGCATTACAGCAGAGGCCCCGGCACCCAGCAGGCGGTAAGAAAACTGAGGAATGTGGGAAGGGCCTTCCTGCAAACCAACCCTGTGGCAGGGAGAAGGCCTGGTGCTGCCCGCCTGGGTCCTGCCCCGGGGTGTCCCTGCAAAGCCCTCCCTGGGCCTGCCCAGAGCTCGCACCCTGAGAGCCCTCCAAGCCAGGGTTTCCTCGGCGGCGCGTGGCCTGGCGGCACCTGGACTGTGCAGTGGGTGCTGCAGTGACCTCAACCGTGGAGGCTGCAGAGAACAGAAAGGGTTGGGAGCAGGAGGCAGAGGTCACACAGGCCAGCCGCCAGCTGGCATTCCAGCACTGCCAACCAGGAAGGCTTCAAATCCCCTCCCCAAGAAGGCGGGGTTGAGAGAGGGAAGGAGGGGGTGCATGGAGAGGCAGGCTTTATCTTTATCACTAATACTGGCTTGAACTGTCCTGTGACAAACTTCTACTGCGGGGTGGCTGCAGTGTAATACCGCATTAAAAACTGAAGCATTTTGGCCGGGCACAGCGGCTCACCCCTGTAATCCTAGCACCCTGGGAGACCAAGGCAGGAGGATGGCTCAAGGTCAGGAGTTCTAAACCAACCAGCCTGAGCAAGAGCGAGACACCCACCCACCCCACCCCCCACCCCCGTCTCCACTAAAAAAAAATAGAAAGAAATTAATTGGCCAACTAAAAATATATAGAAAAAATTAGCCGGGCATGGTGGCGCATGCCTGGAGTCCCAGCTACTAAGGAGGCTGAGGCAGGAGGATCGCTTGAGCCCAGGAGATTGAGGTTGCTGTGAGCTAGGCTGACGCCAGGGCACTCTAGCCTGGAAAACAGAGTGAGACTCTGTCTCAAATAAAAAGCAACTGTAGAATTTTTACAAAACCTTCCATGCTGGACTGAGTAACATCCACTGGAAGAATCCCGCTGGCAGTTCACCTGCAAAACCAGAGCCCCAGACCTGGATGCCCAGACCTGGATGCCCCAGAGCATACCCCTGAGCACCCTGGGGTCAGTCCAAGCCTAGAACACAGGGTGCTCGCAGACCATCCCTTTCTGAAGTCCCAAATGACAAATGCCACTGCCCAACAGAGACCCAGCTCAACATGCTCCTGCGGCCCCAGGGCTGGGGCAGCATGTTAAGTTTTCCGGTGACTCTGCTGGGACTGAATGTCTTCAGGAGGCCGGTGTGGGGACGAGGGCTTGAAAGCAAAGGGGCGGTGGAGGGCCTGACTTTGGGGCCAGGTTCTTTATTCTCCCATCTTTCTGTTCCCAATTTGCACCAAGCAATGTTTCACAACAGAAAATAATAGCACATAACGTGAGAGCAGAGACCCCCGGGAGAAAGGTGAGGGAACATCAAATGTTCCTGCACGCGTGGGACTGGGCGTGACTGTGCCTTACCCATCCCATCAGCTGCACCCTGGACCCCACCAGACCCGGCCCCCAGACCACCCAACAGGCAGCCCCCACAGGAGGGTGGGGGGAGGGTCTGCCTCCAGTCCCACCCCCAGGTGCATCCCAGGGGGCTGCTTCCTCTGCATTTCCCCAAACCTGTGGTTCCCTCAGTCGTTGCCCACCATGCTGTGGTCCACACCGCTACACACACATGTCTTCCCAGGCGACAACTCAGGTGCCAAATGTCCACTGGAAGGTGTCAATCCAAGACTGACTCTGGCGGCCGGCTGGACCCTCTTCCCTCCCGTCCCCAGCCAGAGCAAGAGCGAGCTCACTCCTCTCCCACAGCCTTTGTTTCACAAACACCCAGGAAAGTGTAAAGGGCGTAAATTCCTGCAAACTGCTTTCAGGAAACCTGCAGGTGCTGGCTCCGGAGTTGCCGGTTTCTGGGGAGTGCCAGACCACGCACAGCGGGGGGGGGGGCCACTTCTGTTCCACAAAACACTCCACAACACTCCTTACTTTCAAAAAGCAATTAATATTTGGGGCAAAGCATAGTACAAGCATTAGACTTTGACCAGATGTAAATAAAGGCTTCGGGGGTCCAACTTTTTTCCACTGACTCAAAAAAATACTGCAAAATTAAAGTATCTGTATCTAAAGAATTCCTCCCCCCTACCCAGCCCCATTATAAAAGCCTGCTTTTGGCAAGATGCGCTCAGACGCAGGCCTGGCCAAACCCTCACATCCACCAGCTGAGGAGCCCCACCCCCACCCCCACCCCCACCCCCAATCCCTCCCAGGTCCCTGCGCGAAGTCCGGAGGAGCCCCTGGTCCGAGAGCTTGGCCTAGGAGGTAACACACCGACCGCCCACTTCCTGAATAGTTCCCTCAAATCTTTACAACTTTTGCAGACGCTCTGGCGGTGCCAGAAAGTCCTCTGGCTCAGCGAAGGAAAGTGAAAACTATTTTTGGCACGCGGGAGGGCGGCTGCAGGACGCTGGGCTGTAGTCGGCGCCTGAAGCCCAGCCCGAGATTGCAGAGCCCGAAAGTTTTTCATTCAAGTTCGCACCAGAACTCGGGTCCGCGAATCCATCCCAGCGCGGCGCGGGGTGGGTACGGCATAGCGACGCACAGGCCAAGTGCGAGGGACTCCGCTCCTCCGCGCCCGGCCGCTCGGGTTAGAAACGAAAGGAAAGAGGCGCCCGGAGCACAAACCGGTGCTGGCTCGGCCCGTGCACATCCAGCAGCCCCACACCCTGTGACCCGCAGGACGGCCCCTCCCGGGAACCCCGCCCGGCGCGCTCCGAGCGCAGGGAAAGCCCCAGGGAACCCCGGCCCCTCCCGCACCCCCCCCCCCCGGGACCGCAGGCACTCGGCGCCCGGGGCAGATGCGGGGCCCCTGCGGCCGCGGGTACCCGAGATCCTCGAGGGAGGCTCCCCAAGGCAGGGGGCGCGGGGTGGACTCAGCGCTGCGGAGGAGGGAAAGGGGAGCGCGCTGGGGCTGGAGGCCCGAGGAGGAGGAGGAAGGGGCAGGAAGAGCGGGGGAGGGGGATCGAACAGAACTTGGAGCGGCCGTGGGCGGGGGTGCAGCGCTGGGGGAGGTAGGGGGCTGGGGAAGGAGAGGCGCCGAGGCAGGGAGGAGAGTCCAGAGGGAAAAGGGGCCGAGCAGGGAGAGGAGCGGGGCTTTCCCGGGCGGCTCTCGGCGGGGATTCCTAGCTCCGAACAAAGGCGGCTCCCCGGGCCGCGCGATCAGGCCCGCCCCCCGCGTCCGGGCCAAGGCGGACAAAGGCCCAGCGGGCCCCACGCCCGCCCGACGCCCTGATCCCCCCACGCCCCGAGCCGGGACCCCTCTGCGCCCCAGCCCCAGCCCCCACGCGCTGCCTGTGGCCCCGGAATCCCCTGGGCCCAGGAGCTCCGTGGACCCCGGGCCCACAGGTCCTGGTCCCCGCTGCGCCCCGGGTCGGCACCCCGCGTCCCGCGCCCCTGCACTCACAGGATGGAGGTCTGCGGCGACACGGCGGGCACGGTCTCCAGCAGCAGATGCATGCAGCGCACCGTGGTGCGGAAGCACAGGCAGCGGCTCGGACAGCCCGCGCCCGGCTTCGGGGCGACCGCGGTCAGCGCCCCCCAGCCGAAGCACAGCATGAACGCCAGCAGGCAGCGGCGCGCGGGGCTCGCGGGGCGCGCGGCCATGGCCGACGGCGCGGACGGACCTCGGGCGCTCGGACTGACGCGGCCGGCTCGGACTGCGCCCGCCTGGCCGCGGCCCACGTCCCAGCTGTGCGCAGGGGGCGGGGGGCGCCAGCTGTGCACATGCGCGTGGCTCCTCCCTTCCCCCCTCCGAATCCCCGAGGGCGGGGCGGGGCGAGCACCGGGGGCCGCAGCGTCCGGCTGCGCCCCTATCCCCGGCGCGGCCCAGGCCGGAGACCGCGTGGTGAGGGCGGTGAGGGCTCCAGGGCGCTCGGACCTCTCGGCGGGGCCGCCCGGGGTGCGGAGGAGAGCGTTGGGGCGCGGGTTGAATCCCAGATTCTGCACGCGGGACCTGGGGGGAGGGGTGATTCGAGTAACTCCACCTCTCTTACCCGCAGTTTTACGCGCGTGCAGTAGGGCTGTCTTCTTGGCGCTTTGCTGTTTTGTAACACTTTGGAGTCTTACCGGTCCGGCGCGGCTTACCGCGTGCTCGCTGCCGGTCTGTCTCCCTCCTCCTCTCCCCAGACCCGCCGCGTGTGAAATCCCTTAACTCTGGCACCAGCCCCTCACTCCCGTGGAGGGAACGGGGCGCTGCGCGGGCTTAGAAGGGACACTGGGCTCTGGGCGTGACCCACCTGCTCTCTGCCCACCGCGTGCTCGGGCACTTTGGGGAGAGTAAGATCATCTGTGCTGGTTCCTCCCCGCCTCGATGCGCGCCCGGGGTGCTTGGCCGGGCTGTGGTGCTCTTCCTGGTGGGAACCCGACTGCGGACCCACCCAAGTCGGGGTGTGTAGAGACTAACGAAGAGTTGGAAAGGATTAGAAATACGCGGACTTAATGGATGCGTTCTAACACCTCCGCGCGTTCTCTCCACTGTGTAGCCAAGGAAAGCGAGGCTGAGCTGTTTGCCCACAGGGACAGGGTTACCAAGTGCCAGATTCGGAAAGCAGCGCCCAGGTCTGCTCTCGGTCTGTGGCGCCCCACAGACTCTGTGTTGCCCTGTGTCACTGCCCGTGTCCCAACCTGCCGTGTGTCTGAAGGCAACTGCAATGGGAATGGCTGGTGACATCAGCAAACCAGGGCTTCTTGCACAGTTTTGAAGGTCTACCACCTGCGGCCAGGCCAGTCTTGCACAGGGGGTCAGGCTCCGGCTCTCAGGAGATTGCAGGTGTGTTGTTGGCAAGGCCAAGTCATCTAAGGACTGGACTTCACTTACTGCCATGCGGGTCTCCCTGTGGTCTCTGCACCCGGGCCCTGGCCGCAGACTCCCAGGCAGAGCAAGAATTCCAAGGAAGAGAAAGAAATTGAGAGCACCAAGACAGACACCACAGTCTTCTAACCTGGCCACAGAGGTGGGGACCCATCACCCTGGCAGGCTGCTGTCCACAGACGGCTCACGCTGCAGGACAGGGCGTTGTCAGGTTGGCTCCAGGCAGGAACTCGAAAAATATATATGGGACGGAATGCGGTTAATAGAAAACTGAGGTTGGCCGGGCGCGGGGGCTCACACCTGTAATCGTAGCACTCTGGGAGGCCGAGGCGGGAGGATTGCTCAAGGTCAGGAGTTTGAGACCAGCCTGAGCAAGAGCGTCTCTACTAAAAATAGAATGAAATTAATTGGCCAACTAAAAATACATAGAAAAAATTAGCCGGGCCTAGTGGCGCATGCCTGTAGTCCCAGCTACTTGGGAGGCTGAGGCAAGAGGATCGCTTGAGCCCAGGAGTTGGAGGTTGCTGTGAGCTAGGCTGATGCCATGGCACTCTAGCCTGGGCAACAGAGTAAGACTCTTATCTAAAAAAAAAAAAAAAAAAAGGAAAGAAAAGAAAAGTGAGGTTTATAAAACAGTAGCCACAGGAGTCTGGAGAGTCCTGGAGATTATGGATCTAACAGACAGCCCAGTCAGCACTCCTGTCCCCCTGATAAGGATGGGACTACCCTCCTCCTTATCTCTACAAGATGAGACTGAGATAGGGGTCCCAGAAACTAGTTATTTTTTTAAAAGAATTATTACAGTGGCTGTTTCTGGCCCAGACACTCGCTCGCCTCTGAAAAACCCTCTATAAAACCCAAGACTCTCCCCTCCCTCAAGGTAGATACTCTTTGGCCTCCACCCATCTGCACCCAGACACTCAGAATAAACATTTCACTGCACAGGAGGCTTTCTGTGTGTCTCTCTCCGCTGCGGACCTAACCGGCATCACCCGGGAGGGCGAACCACAGGCGGCCGGACCGCCAGGACCCTCCTCAGGGGCCCCCACACAGGGGACCTCGCTAGGTTTGACTGTGCAGTCCGAGTGGAACCGGGGCCCCGTGCAAGAATAAATGTCCTGAGTTTCCATAAGGACAGAGCACTGTGGTGGGAGTCACAGCCGTGGGTTGGGCGGCGGAGTGGGCAGCGTCCCCTAGTCCCCTGCAGATACTGACCACCTGGACTTAGGGTGGACCCCAGCACCACAGGTCTCACGGCAACAGCAGCCCTGAGTGCGGGGAGGGCCCAGGACCCCCATGCTCTGACCAGCTGGCTACAAATTCAGAGGTTCCCAGGACGCCCTCTGGGTCCCAGCGTGCTGGAACTACTCGCAGAGCAAAGCGCCCGGTCACAGTGGTGGCTTTGCCATCAGGGACGCCCACCTGGACCCTCCAAATGAAGAGACACCCGGGCGAGGTCAGGAGGCCCCACTCTGCGGGACTGCTCTGTCCTTGCCTTGCGGCACCGGGGCCTGGCACAGCCACGTGTCCAGCCGGGCAGCTCCGCTGAGCTTCGGTGCCCAGGGTGTCACTGGGGTGTCCCTGCCCGAGCAGGGCGGAGGGACTCCCTGGCCATGATTGATTGAACCTCGGTCTCTGGCCTCCCTGCCCTCTGGATGCCGGGCTGACGCCAGGTGCTCCCAGCCCTCGTGGCACGTCCCGTCCTCCTGGGGACCCGCCCTCAGCCTGTGTCTCCCGCTGGGCCCATCAGCATCAGCTCAGATGCAGTTTCGGGCCAGCAGGAACAAGACGCCCCTGTCACCCGGGAAAGTCCCAGGTGTAGAAGAAGCTCTGTCCCAGGAAAAAGTCCAGGTTCTTTCTGACACGGTGAGGGCTCTGCAAGGTGTCGTGCTTGCACAGCGGCACCGGGTGCTGTGGCGTGTCGTTGCAGCCGGGGTCCTGTGAGCGTGTGATCGCCTCCCGGTCATCTGGGGACGCTTAGCCAGACATCCGGGTACTGTCCCGGGTCCTGAGGCACCATGCGTCTCCCCGCGGTGGGCTCCTGGGTGCCACGCTCACTCCCAGACAGCGTCACCTGGGCGTCCCACGGCGACTTCAAGGTTAGCGCGTCAGGAACCCAAAACATCACTCTCCCTAAAATGCAGCTTTTCTCCGCGAATCCCTTTCTCTCGGCCCCCAACCTGGAGGTCACTCCCGCCCGGTCCGTGCCGGCCCTCAGCACCGCGGTCACAAATCCTGCCTTCTGTCTGCTCCGCTCTGCCCCTTCCCGGGGCTGCCGGCCGGTTCCGCCTCCCCGTGGCCCTGCCTCCGTGTCTGCGTGGCCGTCCCCATCTGCTGTGTCCCTCGAGGGCACCTCTGGGCCCCTCCGGCGTGGTGGGCCGAGGAACTCCGGTCCTGGTGGCACACGCCTCCTCCCCAGCCACCAGACACCACATCACTGCCACGTTTCTGCCTGGCAAGCTCCTCTCTGCCTTTAGCCCCAGCTCAACTCGGCGCCCTCCCCTCCCGAGTGCCCTGTCACCTCCCGAGTCTGCCCTCAGGAGGCCCCTGGAACCCCACCGCCCCAGGCCCTGGCTTCTCTGCGAGGGACTGCTGGAGACCAGCCAAAGCCACTGACGTTCTGTGTTGCCTGGACCCAGTGAAACATCCCCCTTCCCTCTAAGCACTTGGCAAATCCCATTGTCTGCCCCCAAATCCAGTCACCTGGGCCCACAGCAAACGTTCCTTCCAGGGGCCAGTGGTGCTACCTGCCAGTCTTTTGCTGCCATGTGAAAGCTTTAGTCATTTGTAGATTCACAGAAAGGAGCAGAGAGAGTGAAAAGGCGCTACCTTAGCCCCGGGTCTGCCCTTCTGTGACCAGGACCTCAGGTGCGGCCCTGGAGGTGAGGTGAAAACACCTGCCTCCCTGTGGCCAGGGCCTTGACCTCATCCTGAGCACACACATCTCGTTCTCAGACCCTCCTGGCAGCCAGGGAGGCAGGTATGGAGATCCCCATGTTGCAGGTGAGAAACCCAGAGCTTAGAGGATTGTAAGCAACCTGCCAGTGACTGTAGCTGATAAAGGGAGGGAGGGAGGGAGGGAGGGGGAAGGAAACCAGCCCTCACTGGGCATTTGCACGGCTGGGCCCAGACCTTGCGGCCGACTGCTCTGAGCTGCAGCTGCTGTTCCGGGGCCGCAGGCTGGTGTTCCGGCTGGCGTTGTCCGGGAGTTGCCGAGTTGCACCTGGGGACACCTGGCGCTCTGTGCTCCCCGGACGGACACTTTCAGGGCTGGCCCCGGCCTCACGGTGGAACCCGTGGGCAGCACGTCCCACTGCAGCTGCTAAGGCTGAATCCCCGCCGAGGCCTCCCCCAGCTTCGCCCCTGCTCACGGGGGCCTTCAGTCCATGGTCCACACGGTCACGGGTTTGGCCTGGGAACCCCCTCCCGTGTGCAGGTGACGTCACCGTGCTCACATTCATTGCACAGTGCACGTCTCCTGCCACCGCCCCGGCGGTGACTTTGCCTGCCTGCCTGGCGTCTCCCCGGCCGGCTGCACACTCGCCCAGCACTCAGGGAGGAAGGACGGGGCTCTGGAACAAGACACACGTGGAGGCAGTCTCGCCACCTCCCTCCCAGTTCTGTGGCCCTGCCGCCTTCCTGCCTTTCTGGGCCTCGGTTTCCTCATCTGCAAAACCAGAAGAGCCTCAGCTCCCACTCACGGTGCCCTGAGACTGAGGAGAGCGGGAGGGCGCCGGGACCCCGTCGCCCCAGGGAGTGGGGTGGGATGAAGGAGTCAGTGAGGCGCAAACGCACCTCTTGTCCGGGGGGCCCTGGAGTCGCAGGGCCGGGAGCCGTTCCCAGACGGTGAGTCAGCCCCAATCACAGGACCTGCTGGGGCCGGCGCCAAGACCTCCCTCTGCAGCCGCCCCGCCCTCCCTCCACGGCAGGGGCCTCCCCAGCCCACTGTGTGCTGCTTGGCAGGGCAGGGGCTGCAGCTCCCTGGGCTGGGCAGCAGAGCCCCACCACTGGCGGCTCAGACGGCCGATCTCATCCCCACGGCGCGGCGCGGGGGCCAGAACCCCGGGTGGAGACGTCAGCAGAGCTGGTTCTCCCCAGAGGCTCTCAGGGTGGGTCTGCCTCTACCTCTCCCCCAGCCTCTGGTGGCCGCCACCAACCCATGGAGCCCCTTGTCTGGGAGACACAGAGCTCCAGCCTCTGCCTTCCTGGCCACACGCTGCCCTGTGTCTGTCCGCTGGTGGGGACATGGGCGGTGGCGGCTCGGAGCTCACCACGAGAACCTCATCCTAACTGAATCGCCAGAGCCTGGGGGGCACGATTCACTCCAGTGCACCAGGGACGCAGGTGGACAAGACAGAGATGGCGTGGCAGGGTGGGGTCAGGTCCTGCGCTGTGGCCCCAAGTCCATGACAGAGGTCTGCCCATCTCGCCAGGTGCTGCAGGCGAGAGCAGGTGAGAGCAGCAGAGCCCATGTGCCAGGGTTAGGGTTAGGGTTAGGGTCAGGGTTAGGGTTAGGGCTTAGGGGTTAGGACCAGGGTTAGGGTTAGAGTTAGGGCCAGGGTTTGGGTTGTTAGAGTTAGGGCCATGGTTAAGTTTAAGGTTAGGTCCAGGGTTAGGTTTAGGGTTAGGGTTAGCCAGGTGGCTCTCAGGTGCTCTGGTCTGATGCGCTCTAACTTACAATGTGCTGTTGAGGCTGGTGGGAGTTAAGGTTAGGGCTAGGGTAGGGGTTAGGGCTAGTGTTAGGGGTAGGATTGTGGTCAGGGTTAGGGTTAATGTTAGGATTAGGGGTTTAGTCCAGGTTTATGGGTAGTATTCTGGTCATAGTTAGGGTTAGAGGTTTGGGGTTAGGGCCAAGGTTTGGCGTAGGGTTAGGGTCAGGTTTAGGGTTAGGGGTTAGGACCAGTTTTAGGGTTAAAGATAGGGCTAGGGTTATTGTTGTTAGTGTTTGGGCCATGGGTATGTGTAAGGTTAGCCCCAGGGTTAGGTTTAGGGTTAGGGTTAACGAGGTGGCTCTCCGGTGCTCTGGTCAGATGAGCTTAAACTTACCTGGTGCTATTGAGGGAGGTGGGGGACTCCATCCTTGCAGGAACGGTAGGTTGTGGGTTCTAGAATTCGGTCTTCCATCTGCAATTCAACACATGGGAGCAGAGTCCTAGAATGTCAGTGCTAACTGTGGAGAATCACTGCTTCCTCTATCCTTCCTAAGCAGGTCGCATGGTGCTCTGTTTGTTGCCAAGAGTGTGACCAGGAGGGATACTCTAGATGCCCCTTACTCCGTGCCCTGTCCTGGTTGCTTCTCCTGCTATGGAGTGTCTGTAAACAAGGAACTGCACACTTAGAGCCAGTGGTTTTCTCATGTCCCCACCAGCAGGGCTGTTTCCATACCTCGATGATGAAGTCCAGTGTCTGGGAGGGCGTCTGGGCCAAATAATCTCCTCCCACCAGGGGCCCGGGCCAGCACGCTGCACCCTGAGTGTGGGCATCCCTCTGTCCTCAGCGGGGGACTTCGGGGACCCATAGCCCACACCCCGGGGACATAGGGAGCTCTGAGCTGCCATGTACTGTCCTAGGGCCAGGCCCCGACAGTAGGCAGAGGCACCAAGAAGTCACACGGAGTAATCAGGTGGAGCCTTTGCAGAGGTGAAGCCGAGCTAGGGCAGAGCCCGGATCGCCCCCACCTTCCCCTCCACAGTGTGTTGGGGGGCAGGAACATGTGGCCACAGGTGCCCGGTGTAGCCACTGCTGGTCCTGGCCACCCTTGTAGGAAGCCAGATGGTGAGGGGACTTGGGGACACCCTGTGAGAGGTCCGTCCCCCAGGGCAGGCTGGCCGGGGGCAGGGCAGAGGCTGGCAGAGACGAGGGGCACCTGCAGCCTCCACCGGCTCCCTGGTCAGTGAGCAGCTGCCTGAGCCGAAGGGGGTCCTGGCCAGGGAAGCTCAGTCTGGTGGGAGCAGCCTCAGGGATGGGCCTCTTGTACTGGGTGGTCAGTTAGGTTTGCAGCTCGCTGAGAGTTTATAGTTGTTTCTATTTTTAATGTTTGTTAAAACTTTAAAACTTATAAGGAAATTATTAAAAAGTATTATCTATATTCACAAGAACCCTGAACTGTGAAAGAAAGTGTTATTTCCTGTTTGTGTAGACGAGGAACAGGAGGAGGGCAGGCGGGAGGGACCCGGACGGCAGGAGTGGGAAGAAATGAGCCCAGACCTCCCGCACCGGCAGTGTCTCCTCCAGGACGCCTTCTCAGCTGTGAGTGGGGATGTCTCCCCTCTGCGGGCCGCCCCGCCCCGCCCCCGCCCTGCCCACCCCCTGCTCTCGCCCCCCCACTGCCCACCCCCTGCTCCCGCCCCCGCCCTGCCCACCCCCTGCTCCCGCTGTCCCAGAGCCCCTTCCCTGTCCCGGCGTCCCTGAGAGCCCACAGCACCGTCCGCCCGTCACAGCCCCTGGCGACAGGGACGTCTGTTCCCGCATCAGAGCCCTCCTCACAAGCCTGGGGGAACAGGGGCCGCGAGGGGCTGGATGCGCAGAGGACACCGAGCCCTGGCGGGGGTGGGGGGTGCTCCTCTCCAACCGTGGCAGCCCCTCCCAGCACGTCCCCGGACCCGGGCTCTGGATGGTGACGGGGATTCCGGAGGCTGCGGGGGTCGGGGTCCGGTGAGCCGCGTGGCCCCAGGCAGGCCGCTTGCCTGGTCCGCGTCTCGCCTCCTCCCCGCCTGGTCCTTGGCGCCACGAGACAGAGGCCCAGAGGGGCGCAGCGCACGAGCGCGGGAGGGGCAAAGGCCCCGTGTGGGCGTGCTCTGCGCCTTCGCACCGGGGTTGTCTCCTTTTCGCTCTGGTGGCCCCGGCCTCAGATGGCCTCTCCTGGTGCCCGATGGGGTCCACGTCCCAGCGTCCACGCCCACCCGACATTCCCAGGAAGAGCCTGGAGCTGCGCCCTGTCACCTCCCTCCCGACAAGGGACCCGGCTCCGCTCCAGCCCCCACATGGGGACAGCGAGTGACTCGAAACCACGGGAATCACCCCTACCTGAGTGCCCTGAGCCCACCCTGTGGGGACCTTCTCCCCCCACATCCTGGCACCCCCACCCTCCTTGGGGTCCCCTCCTGTACCAGCCCTGTGCACCCCAGCTCCGGCCTCCCCTACACGCTGCGGCTCACTCACGCACACAACGACGGAACTCGGCTCTCAGGGACGCCAGGCCAGAAGGGCCTCTCCTCCCCACCCCCACAGGGCCGCCCCCCACAGGCGCTGGGAGCCCAGCCGCCTTCCTCCAGCAGACAGGAGCCAGGCAGGGCCTCCCGTCCCCCCGTGGCCTGCGCCCTTCCTACTGCGAGGCCCATCACAGGTGCCACAGCGGCTGGAGACCCCGGCTGCCTGCTCGGGAGACAGCGGCATGCCGCCCCCGCCCCCGCCCCCGGGAGGATCAGGCAGCGCACGCCTGGTCCCTGTGTGCTCTGCGCACGCAGAACACGGCAGACACAGCTCAGCTAAAAGAAATGTCCCGAGCAGGGAGTGATTACACGCAGCCTGGTGACTGAGGAGACGTCTGAGCTGTGTCAACACAAAGAAGCCAAACTCTGTAAAATAATTTAAAGGGGTTTATTCTGAGCCAAACTTGAGCACCGTGGCCTGGAGCCACACCCAAGAAGCCTTGAGTAAGTGGACTCACTGTGGCTGGGTTACAGTTTTTTGTTTTTTTGTTTTGTTTTTTTTTGAGATAGAGTCTCACTCTGTTGCAGGTGTCCTCGAACTACGGCCCGTGGGCCACATGCCAGCCGCCTAGCACATGTATCCGGCCCTCCCATTGTTTTTGCCGTGGCTGCCTGTCCTGCTTAGCAGCCGACTCGTCCCGGGCCCGCGGTGCACACTCTCGAACGGTCTGAGGGACAGTGGACTGGCCCCCTGTTTAAAAAGTTTGAGGACTCCTGCTCTGTCACCCAGGCTAGAGTGCCATGGTGTCAGCCTAGCTCACAGCAACCTCAAATTCCTGGGCTCAAGTGATCCTCCTGCCTCAGCCTCCTGAGTAGCTGAGACTACAGGCATGTGCCACCATGCCCGGCTGATTTTTTCTATGTATTTTTAGTTGGCCAATTAATTTCTTTCTATTTTTAGTAGAGACGGGGTCTCGCTCTTGTTCATGCTGGTCTCGAACTCCTGAGCTCAAACAATCCTCCCGCCTCGGCCTCCCAGAGTGCTGGGATTACAGGTGTGAGTCACCACACCCGGCTTACAGTTTGGTTTTATACATTTGAGGGAGACAGGGGGGAGATGAGGGTTATTGGTAAAGTCATCAATCAATACGTGCAAGGTGTACACTGGTTTGGCCTGAAAAGGTGGGCCGTCTCCAAGGGGAGGGGCTTACAGGTTATAGGTGGGTTTCAAGACTCTTTGGCTTGTAATTGGTTAAAGACATGAAGCTTTGTCTAAGGGCTTGCAATGCTTTACGTTAAGATAAGGAAGTCTGCTGATCAGAGACTCGCCACCAGATACCATGACTCCGGGGACCTGTGAATTGAGGACCTGCAGGTCTGTCTTGTGCAGCCTGAGGCGTGCCAATGAGTCACACAGGATTCTGCAAGAAGGGAGGGCGTGGCCAGGCCTGGCTGACCTCCCCCCGCATGGCCAGCAACTCGGTTTAGGGTATCCCCTAAGGGGCCAAGAGGGGTCCACTCAGTCAGCCGCTGGCAGGGGAAGAGCCTTAAGATTCAATTGTATTTTACAGCTGGGACAGGGCAGTGACAGGGACACAGGGTGCCCAGGTGTCCCTCGGGCCTGTAAGGAATAGTTGCTCAGTAAATGAACCACCAACGAGCTTTCCTTGGAGAACAAAGCCACAGCTGTGGGCGCTTCAAGCAGATATTTTCGTCCTTATTACCTTTGCGTGTTTGGGTTTCATTAGCACTTATTCAAACTCCACCCAGGACACGTAATTTTTTTCTGCATAAGAGCCATATGGTGCATGGCTGCTGGACGTCTGGGCTGCGGCTGGTCGCGGAGCTGAGATGCGCGGGGTCCTGGGGGAGGCGGGAGGGGAGAGAACGGGAGGTCACCAGGCCGGGCTTGAGAGCGTGGAGCTCGTCACCGGGCAGCAGGAAGTCCCGGACCAGGAGCCACCCCACGTTCGGACCAGCAGGTCTGGGGCGAGTACAAGGAAGTGCCCCCCGGCCGGGTTCCCAGGGCCAGGGCCGCCGCCACAGATCCCCGCAGTAGCATCGCGGGAAAGGCGCCCGTTTGCCAGGCGGCAGCGTGGGCCGCAGATGAGGTCAGGGGTCACGTTCGACAGGAGGAAAACCACAGGTCTGAGAATCACTGGTGAACAGTTGGTGACCGCCTGGCCCACAGAACTACATTACGGCTGCAGCGAAGGTCCGAGGAGCACTCAGCCCACCCGGGTCCTCCTAGTGCCCTGCGTGCAGGGCCCATGGCACTCACGCGGGAGCCCTGCGGGCCCTTAGCAAGTCGTCTTCCAGATTGGCAAGCAGGGACGAGCAGGCCAGGTAAGCTGCCTGAAGTCTCAGCAAGTAAACAGGCATGTGTGCATGCGTATGTGCATGCGTGTGCACGTGTATGTGCACGTGTATGTGCATGCGTGTGCGTGTGCATGTGTGTGTGCATGCGTGTGGGTGTTGGAACCACATTCTGTGGTCGCCCTGCGAGCTGCTGCGGGGGTTGCAGGGGACGCCAGGCGGTGCCAGTGCCTGAGGCCTCTGCGGACGCCCTTCCGCACGGCGCTCTCCTCCCACTCGTCTGCAGAGAGCCCGGGAGACGGCACGACCACGGCGAGAAAAGGTCACGCACGGTGGACGGGAGACGCCGGGGCAGACGCGGCGCTGAAGGGGCCCAAGGACAGGCCGCCTCCGTGGCCAGCGAGGAATGTTTGTGTCTGCTGAGGCCGCGAAAGCGTGGAAAGCCCACGCCTCCTCAGGGACGGGCTGTGTCTCTAAAGCACAAAGCCGCCTCGGCCGGAGTGGGGACGGCTCAGCGCAGACTGCCGGGGTGGCCTCCCCGTGGGTCCGTGGGGCGGAGGTGGACCCACGGCTAATGCGCGCTCACCCCCCACCCCGACCCCTGCCCGGCACAAGTGGCCCAGCGCTAAGATGCTTTTGGCCGACTGGGGTGAAAGCCGTGATTAGGTCCTGCCAGAAACGCCCCTGTCGGCCGGGCGCGGTGGCTCACGCCTGTCATCCTAACACTCTGGGAGGCCGAGGTAGGAGGATTGCTCGAGGTCAGGAGTTGGAGACCAGCCTGAGCAAGAGTGGAGACTCTGTCTCTACTATAAATAGAAAGAAATTAAGTGGCCAACTAATATATATAAAAACATTAGCCGGGCGTGGGATCACATGCCTGGAGTCCCAGCTACTCAGGAGGCTGAGGCAGGAGGATCATTTGAGCTCAGGAGTTTGAGACCAGCCTGGGCAACAGTGAGACCCTGTCTCTACTAAAAATAGGAAAATTAGCCGGGCATAGTGGCACATACCTGTAGTCCCAACTACTTGGGAGGCCGAGGCAGGTGGATCACTCGAGGTCAGGAGTTCAAAACCAGCCTAAGCAAGAGCGAGACCCCGTCTCTACTAAAAATAGAAAGAAATTAATTGGCCAACTAAAAACATATAGAAAAATTAGCCGGACATGGTGGCGCATGCCTGTAGTCTGAGCTACTCAGGAGGCTGAGGCAGAAGGATGGCTTGAGCCCAGGAGTTTGAGGTTGCTGTGAGCTAGGCTGACGCCACGGCACTCACTCTAGCCTGGGCAACAAAGCGAGACTCTGTCTCAAATAAAACCAAAAGAAAAGAGAGGAACGCCCTGTAATCCCTGCGACTGGCTGATCCCGTCAGGAGCAGCCCGTGGGCCATTCCACGCAGGGCTGTCGGTCTGCGCTCTGCGGGTCCAGACCCGCCCCGGCCCTCCGCGGACGTTTGCTGAGCTCCCAGAGCTTTCGCGCTGACCGCGGTGGATGTGCCTGGAACCCCCCAGGGCCAGAGAGTGCCGCCATCGCACCACGGAGCCACTGAGGCCCAAGCCGGGGCTGCTTTCCACCCCCAACTGCGGAACTGTCTGTTTCATGAGAAATTTCCAGGACCCTCCTCCGCAAATTCGACACGCCCTCCCAGGAGCGAGCGGCCCCCCGTCCGCCCGCGTGACAGCCCCGAGGTTCTTGCTCCACGGCAGCCACAGTGGCCCCGGCGTGGCCAGCGGGGAGACCGGGCGACCTTCCCTGTTCCTGCGACACCAACGTCCGCGGCCTGTGAACCTGCGCGTGGCTCTCGCTGGTGCCCGAGTGCCGGAGCCAGGGGGGCTCTGCTGCTCCGTGGGGCGTCCGGCTCCGACCGCCACCGACCGCCACCGACAGGCCGGCTCTGGACACACTGACCTCTCAGACTGCGGGGTCCTCACTGGTGAAATGGTGCTGG